AGCTGGGACAACTGGGTTTGATGATTAACAGGTTATCTTAGTGTCTCTATTTGTTTTTTGTTTTTCTTTCAGATGGGATCAAGCGTGGGCAAAGAGAAGATGGATAAGCGGAACAGAGAGGTGAACAGAGCTGTGTCTCCAGCCTCCAGTGGCGTTTTTAAAAATAGTGACCATTCCAAACATCCTCCTAAAGGCTTCAGTTATGATCCTGGACCAAAAGATCGAAGGTCAGTCAGCTGTCACTAACTGATTTAATGATGATTAAACATAATAAAATCCTGAAAGTCACAACGGTTGTGTCTTACTTTTTAATGTCTAATCCCATTTTTTTCCATGTCACACTGACTGCAATCATTAGAGAAACTCCGGATCTGTTGAGTCTTTTTTTCCCTTCTGTCACTTATGTCCCAAATTTGAAAGGGACAAAAAAATGAAAGTAAAACAAAGCATTATACTAATAAAAAAACAATAAAACAGCCGTCTTGGCTACAAAGCAAAGCTTCACTTGGGGCAACGGAGGCGTCTGAGGGCCCGGTGGTGCCAGCCTATGGCAGCCTTGCTTCTATCAGTGAGCCCCAGGGCAGCTGTGGCATGCGTGAATGGGTAAATGACTGAATGTAGCGTAAAGCTCTTTGATTGGGTCCTCTGACTTGAAAAAGCGTGAAGTTAGTAAAAGCCATTTACTGTATAATTTCATGACCGTGTGTGCAGAACACTGATAGATGATTTTGATAAACTATAAACTACGTCTAAAGAAAAGGGAAGCACAGCTGTGGGACAGTTTATGAGTCCTGGGTGAGGCAGTGACAGGTGATCTCAGAGAGCAATTTTGGAGGTTTATTGAAGTTTTTTTTTTTTCATAAAGAGGGGAGAGTGATAAGTAACTTTTTACTGTACATTCTCTTTTTTTTTTTTTGTGAGGCTCAATTAGGATTTTACTTTATCCATTTTCAGCCCTCCTGAACTCCTATTGGGGGTAAAGTGTTCTTTTTTTTAATGTGCCCCACCCCGCTTTGCAACTGCAAACCTGACTGTTTTTCCCTTCTGATTGACAGATTTAATTGTGTATATCTCAAAGCAGATGTGTTTTACTTTTAAACATCTCTTTTCTTGTCAGATCCATCACATTGCTGCTGAACTGCTGCGTAGTCTGGCTAAAATAAATCTGGGGTCTTCCTCAATGCTATGCAAGTCCCCGTGGAGAAAATTTTCATCCCCATTGACTGTCAATGATGGCATGACTTCTCATGACACATTTTTCTGTCAGATTGGACAGAAAATGGTATTTGGTGTGTTTGAGGCTTTAGGCTGAGAAGTTTAGCTTCAGAAAAGAAGCTTCAGGACATCCTCCAGCTCCAGGAACGTCTCTGAT